AAGTCACGTTGAACAGCACCTTATGCGATGCAGGATCTAAAAGTCACGTTGAACAGCACCTTATGCGATACAGGATCTAAATGTCACGTTGAACAGCACCTTATGCGATGCAGGATCTAAATGTCACGGCCAGGGTTCACGCATAGCCATATCTAATCTAGAACTGCTGAACAGAGAGAAGGCAACCATTTATTAGCACTCGCCGCCTAAATGGTTGCTCTTAAGCGAATAGCGGGATTAATCTTATAAAATTCCCACAGTTGACAGTGTGGAGCGTGTTCAACAAAATATTGCAGCTCGAATCTTGGACCTTCTGATCCCCATCTTGGAACGAAAAACTAGGACACGCCAGGACCGATCCCAGTAGAATGCGTAATGAGATCGCGCGGTTGTTTGTGACTGTGAAGCATTTACTTATAAAATTGCTAAATTTCTTGGTGACACACTTTTCAACTCATACAATTTTCGAACGTGACACTCCCATCTGATGCTTTCCGTATGTTCTCACGTCTTAACTTGACAGTCACATGTTTTCCTAGAGTTTGTTGGTATTAAAAGTTCAAGTCCTAATAAATCTTAATAACATTAAGAATTTTTTATTGACCCAAATAAACACGTGACCTACGAACCTAATAAGTAAAATAACATTAAAAGTGGGTTCAAAAGACAAAATGAACAAAGAGGAAAAGATAAAGTGACCTGTAAAATTGGGCTTTTCTTCTTCTTCTTTTTTTTTCTTTTTGCAATAGAATTTTTCTAATATTTTTAGTGACATCACGCCTACACGTGTAGCTGGAGTTACCGCCCACAGTCCCAGTAAAGGAACCGCAATAGAAAAGATGTACCACAGAAAACGTCGTATGAAAACAGAGGTGGCAGCCGTCACGCCAAGCCTAGACTTCGAACCAGTTTCGTTAGCCTTTCGACCACGTGCAACAAGGAGCATTGGCTGGGACTGTACAAGGGTAAAACTATTTAAGCGGTCAGCGCGGCAATCACCTGATGCAAGAAGTCTCTTCCTTCCAGAGTATTGCCCAAAAATATTTTTACAGTCTAGTAATTCCAGTGTTTGAAGGATTAACGTTAATGATATAGCGAGGTTAGGGTCACTTACACAACTATTACAGAGAAAGAAAGTTACGTGTGGGAACAATGGAATATCTACTACACAGAAAATTCTTCTTCTTCCTACTTCTGACACTCAGCGCCAATCCTGTAATCCAATGTAGAAGAATCCCCCGGTGGCACATAAAAATGGCTCAAAGCCAAGGGTATTTATTGTTCTTTATTTCCTACTTTTGTTTAAAATTGTTCGCGCCACTGTTTCTTTCTTAGAGGTGAAATTTGTTTGTTTGTTTGAGATATTTCGCGCAAAGCTACATATGGCTATCCCCACATAGCTCTCCTTAATTTTGAAATAATATATTAGAAGAAAGGTAGCTAATCAACAGCACTCTCCGTCAACCATTGAGCTACTCTTATCTGACCGGATAGTGGGATTTGTTCGTCACTCTTATAACGCACTCACGGCCCCAAAATCATGGCTACGTTTTTTTTTTTTGTGACAAGGGGCTGCGAACTATTATCTTGGTATTAACAGTCAGAACGCATTAAGCGCTAGACCATGCCTAGTCTCAGAACTTAGCTTTCTTCGCCTCATGTCAGTTTATTTCTTGTGTTTGTTTGTTTGTTTGTTTTGGAATTTCGCGCAAAGCTACACGAGGGCTATCTGCGCTTATTTCTTGTGTACACGTCGTGTAAATTTTTCACGCTTAAGTTTCAAACAAAAGTTAACTTAAGATCGAAGATAGCCAAGAGAAATTATTAGTTTTGTTAGAGCAAAACTGCAAAATAGGTTATATGCGTTCTGTTCACTGCGGGGAATCGAACCTCGGATTTTATCACTGTAAGGTATTAAACGTACTGCTGATCCGCCAGGGGACTCAAGTGCAAAACAAAATAGCATGAGATTGAAACTGTCAAATGCAATGAAAAACTAGCATGAGATTATTCAAATGTGTTTTTTTTTTCGTTCTTTCATTTATCCAGCATTGAAGTAAAAAAGTTCATTAAAAGAAGTACAGTAGCTGATAAAAAAAACGATCATTTTATTCATTCTTGCTTGATAGCTTAACCTTCGTGTTGTGATTTTGGCTAAAAAAAGGGGGGATCATGAAAGAAAAATATAAGTGGTATCATGTAAAATTACTTTGGAATTATTATCGGTTGTATATAAATAGTAGCTAATATGTTAACTCAATTTCCATTTGCCACAGTTGTTTTACGAATGATAAAATGAAGCACCTAGAAACATGGTAGAGAGTATTGTTAAAATAATCTAATCATATCTGCCTGTAGATGAATATTTCTAGAACGCCTTCTACACTTTAGATTAACGTAACAGGAAATTCATATGCTTGAGAGCAGTCTGCATAAAGTCCCCCCCTGCTACATCCCCTTTTATCTCGTAAGTTGTTGCTATTTTAGCACAAAGCTACACAATAGACTATCTGCTCACTATCTGCCGCGGGGAATCGAACCACAGATACTCAATCCCCATTATTCAAAAGTTTTGTTATGGTTTTAACAATAATTTCAATAAATCTGAAACCAATTCACTTTAAATTTTTGTGATCCTGAAATTCATTAAGAGAAAATTTCACGAAAAACAGTTTATATATTTTTCTTTCCTTTCTGTTGTTTTAATATATATACTTATATGTAAATTAGTGTTCTGCGTAATGGGAATGGCGCCCCTGCCACTCCTTTTTTTCTAACAAACGCAACAGTGTATTATCTTTTTGTTTTAAGCGTGTAAACTATACAGCTTCGTAAAAAAATCGTCAAATGTATTTCACCTGAATTGCAAAAACAAATATACTTAATTTTACAACTTAGCTACGTCACTGCATGGTCTTGTAGTTTTGTAATAAATCGTTTCAAATGTTAATACAAAAAAAATAAATAGATGGCGTTCAATCGAGGAATTGACTCAAGCATTAAATCAACTATGAAAGGTTCTTTATCTTTACACCTAAAGTATGCAAAATAGCTTTGCAATAATTGAGAAACGTTGCTTTACCCGGTTAATTCTGTAGGTCTTATTTCCCGTTTTCTAAGTAACCTTTTGTTTTTCAGAAGGTGTGCCAATGAAAGGCCACATGCCACGTTTGATCATTCGGCCTTTTTTTCTAAATAAAACGAGTTCCACTAAAGTTACCATTAGCATGGAAAATAAACACTGATTTCGCTTTTGCACTAAGTGAGCTTTCAAATTTCGCTTAATTAAATCTTTTTGTTCTACGTGTTGGGTAAAGTTAAATTACTGGTAACGAAGTTGAGATAACTCACTTCCTGTATTCGACCACACGCTGAAGTTATTACGTCACGTTTGCTGGTATCATTATAATGAAGTTTGTGTAACTCCAAGTGGAGAAATGTATGAATCACCCTGCACGACTTATGTGTAAATAATTGTACAGAAAAAAAAAAATACGAAGAGAAAGAGTTATCGGGGTATCGTCGCTTAAAAGCATACGCGCAATGTTTAAGGATGAACGAAATCGTGGGAGAATGATATCAGTACTTAAAGAAACCACTTACGCATCAAACGCTATCCAGATTCGCCATAACTAGATTGGGTCCATCAACGTTTGAAAACACGTGCTGCTGAGGGATGGCGAAGAGCTTTTAGGTTTATATACACATGTGAATGTGAGGTTACTTATAAAACGATATTCAAACCATCAGCATTTGAATGATCGTTTCTAACTATCTCATTTATCACTTCTAACACAAAATGTGATTTCTTCGATAAATGTACACTACTCGTTATGGCGATTTTCGAAAACTAAAAACATGCAATTGCGCCGAATCCTACTTTATGACTACCAGTAAATATTTCAAATCCACTAAAATACATATATGTTCACGTTATGGATTTGTTTATGCAGGTAATCATTAGAACTTTAGCAAGAGATTTTCAAGCGAAGCCTTGCCAAATGGAGCAATTGTCACTCACACTTTTGAAAATAGAGCAGAAGCTTTAATTAAAGTCGCGTTTTAATTGTATATACAGCTTAACATACAAGCAGTACAATACCCTTTTTTTGTATGATTTTTTCAGTGTAAGTTGAAGTGTTATAAATCACATTTAAGTATATGATGCCGTTACTTCTCATTCATACAAATAATGCTGTTGCCTCTCACTAATGTAATCGATAGTTATTTCAAATTTTTATAAATAAATATAACTTTTATTGATGCAAATAATGCTGTTGTCCCTCATTAACTCAAATTATGTTGTTTCCTTTAATTTTTATATATGATGCTACATTCAATCTATGTAGATGATACTGTTATATATCATGGGTGTAAATGATACTATAATCTCTCATGGGTACAAATAAGGTTGTCATTGTTCATGGGTGTAAATGATACTATAACCTCTCATGAGTACAAATAATGTTATCATCTTTCATGGATGAAAATAACATTATAACCTCTCATGGGTAAAAATAAAGCTTTTATCTCTAAACGGTTCAATCATTCTGGTACCATTCATGGTTGCAACAAATGCTGTTTCTTTTGTGGGTGCGAAATTTGGAACCCTTCCAAGAACATAATGCTGTAAGTACTATATGATGGCTAACACCCTGAATGTAAAGATCAATTAGAATTATATAAAAGTTTTTACTTTATTTGCTTAGCGAACACGTGGCTTATAAGTCTAAAATGACGCCTCGCCTCTTCGTGTAACAGATCTTCCGTCTTGATATTTAAACTCTCACATCTATCCGGAAATCGTAGCCTAGTTTTGGATAAAACAAACACCTAAGAACGAGGGTAATTATTCAACGATTTCCTGAAACTTTTTTTCCCTCCTTTACGCACAGTATTTGTATTTATGGCAAAGCTACTCAGGCTACCTTCTGCCGTCCCTAACTTTGAACTACTGACTAGATGGCAGAAAGCCAGTCAACAGCATCCACAATCCACGATAAAGGATTTATTGTCACACCCACTAGTTTAAATTTAAGGAAGGGGCAGTTTGTGGTATCGAATGGATTCAAACCCGGGTCTCCAGTTCCGAATACAGAGCTCTACTACAGAGTCAACTTGCGCCCTTACATTAATAACAATTTGGTTTTGGTTAGATCTTAGTGAGGTAGTTTCTATTAACTCATCTCTTTCCAACATAATAACTATGTTACTCGTTTGCAGCAGTCAGTATCATTTAATAAGACCATAGTAATAAAGAGCGCGAATATATCGTCCTAGTTTATTTTCTAAAGTTATTTCCTACATTTAGTAAACCCTCTTCTTGACTTTAGGTCTACATTCAGCTCCTTGCGGAATCTTAAAAGTATCAAAGACTGAAAATTCAGATCTGTTTGGTCTTTCCATATATATGTATATTATGAGCTCAGTATATATGATAACAGTGCATACTGAATGTCACTTAGTTTCTCGACCTTCCTATCTTCTAATGATTAAACTCAGAACACGTGATCCACGTGTTTTTTGAAGACATTCATAACTCAAAAATCGCAGTTCTGTGATGCAAATAAAACAATTTAAATATTCCACAAACGCTTAAAAATCCACACAAAAAACAACAACTAATTTTCGATAATTCATTTCACAATATACTATAATAAGCTCTATAGTTGAAAAATATATTTACAGTTTCGAGTTATTCTAAAAACAAATATATATAAAATGAGGTAAGGTTGCTTTTAGTCTACCCTAAATATCGCTTAGTTATATATATATATATATTATATATATATTACACTACCAATCACCAGTATGGTAATATCGTCATAGGGCATTTCTTACACTACCTGCGATGGTTTTATTGTCTTGAAATGTTCACATGTTGTATGTACAGTAATTCCTGTACGAAATCCAAAAAAATGATATACATTTTTCTCCTTAACGTACAGATTTTTCATAAAACGTCATAACGCAGTACATAAATTAAAAGACCACAACACGTAGTTTTGTAACTAAACGACGTAGATTTCATACAAAAAAAATCAGGATGAATGAGGATGCATATTCGTTTGATATCAATATTCTTCCCCTTTCTTCTGTTTGTTTGTATTTTTGTTAACAAACATAATAATAAAAAATGTTCTTTGCGGTAAAGGAAATAATAATTCGATCTAAGTAAGAATGTTTTTTTTTTCCTGATTTTTTAAAACATCCTTACGTGATAGAAAAAATGAATATTATTTTCGAAATCTGCGTAGCTTAATTATGGAAA